ATGCGGAAGTAACGCGTGTCGTGGAGCAGCCAATAGTTCCAAACACTGATAGTTCCAGCATTGAACCCCATTCATTTTCAGTGCTTCAGAAGTACGTTCGCTGGTAAATTAATGAAATTACTGTTTTTTTTACTTTTACACACATTAGCCGACCTCTCGTGAATCTAGTCTGTAGTTATATTTAATGTAGCCAGTTTTAGTAAATGTTTATTGGAAGATAATAGGTTAATTGCAGCGATAGCTTACGACGTGACCAACACTTCACTAACGTTAGCTAACTGGTAACCTGATGTATATAATATATAATATTTTTAATAATATTTTATATGTATATGTATATATATATATATATAACCTATATATAATATTATATACACACACACACACACAATTCATTTATTTAAATGGGTTAGGGAGGGTTATGCATGTGCTTATATGTATTTAGGAACATAGTTAATTCACTAATTAACTATCTCTCCGGTTTAATTTTATGAAGAATATTTTTCGGTTGAATATTTACCGAACATTGCTGTATAGTCGTTGCTTTCTACGTTATGGGAGCAGTCTATTTCCCTCCTAAATCATTCATTTGTACATGCACAGCGTTTATATTTTGTGTTGGTTGGAATTCTGAACGGACTGCAGACCTCTTTGCGTGATCACGAAGGTAGGCTAATGGCTGAATCGGAATTTATAAGCAAGATCACGGGAATCAATAGCCTAATACAGCCCAGTTGTGCTAAAATAAATATCATGAGACGTCCATCATCAGATGAATGACATGGAAAAGTTAAGTTAGAGCCGCTAAAGCCAGTGCTAACATACTACCCATGCGAACATGAACACTATGCTTTTCCCTCCAAAAAAATAGCCTAAAACTTATCTAAGTTGTCACCCTGCCTCTCCAAATGCAAAACTGACATTAACAAAATGCAATAACAGCTTAAAAAGTACTTGGGTGTGTGTTTTATTTTATATTTACCGTTTAATAATCCAATCGCTGCTGTCTGTCCATAGAAGAACATGACAGCCCGCGTATGTTTTGGAACTAATGGGGCTTACATGAACCACGTGACAGCCGTCGCGGCGACATCAAAGCGTGTCGCAACTCTTTCTCTCTATGGCTCTGGCGTAAGCTAGCTTACGCAATACGAGAGAACCTCTCGTAAGAGAACGAATCGGTTACCTAACGTAACCTCGGTTCTCTCTAGATGAGGGAACGAGTATTGCGTTCCTGGCCGTGCTTGTGCTCATAGCGTTCTCGCTTCATTCTATGAAAACCAGAGTTTACAGCCTAGGACAGAGTCCTGCACGGGTCCATTTTTGGAGACCCGCCCCCGCCCGTACCCGCAAAGTTCAGCACCAGATCCGACCCGTCACCCGTGATAATATCAAAATTAAATCCGCACCCGCCCAGACCCGTTAATATTTGGCCCGTTATCCGACCAGTGCCCGCGATAAATCACACACGCTGAAATCATTCCAATTAAAGTGCTTTATTTTTTATCTCGCACCTCTCTTAACATCACAATAGCCTCATGAATGAGCTAATGAAACAGGCTAAAGTGCGCTTTGTTTTGCGCCATTCAAGTAGCCTACATCGGCACCTAAATAGGCTATGGAACCTGATAACGCAAATAGACCTATTAATGGGGGGAAAAAAAAGAACAAGAAAAAATAAAACCTATAGAGCCTGTCGCTCACAAACAATAGCCTATAGGCCTATGCCTATGCATTTACTTTCCCTTAAGGTTACTGTGCAGGAAAAGGATATCGTCCACAGTCCCAGGTTTAAGTTGCGTTCTCCGTTCTTGAATTACAAATCCAGCTGTGGAAAAGTCTCTCTCACTCGCAGCGCTCGATGCTGGGATGGAGAGAACATTCCGCGCAATCATTGACAGGTTGGGAAATGTTTTCGCATGCTTCTTCCACCACAACAAAACATCGATAGGATCCTCCTTGGGTGGCTTGAACTCGATGTATGCAGAGACCTCATAATGGCAATTTAGACACAAATATTGCACATATTTTTCATCTGCTACCTGCCCGCAAGGAGTTCATTATTCGCCCGCATGCCCGCCCGTGAATTTTAGGAATGTCAAACAATCCACCCGTTTTAGCCACTTTTATGCGGGCACCCGCGGGTACCCGACCCGTTGCAGGACTCTGGCCTAGGACGCCAATTTATACTCTCTGACCACGCCCGTTTCGGTGGGCTCTGACGCAATGAGAGCAGGTCAGACTCTCATTGGCCGAGAGTTCATTCGTGTCTCCTCATAGGCTTAAGCAGTTCTCTGTGAGCGAACCAATGAGCTGCTAGCTAGCCCGCTCATGGTCTGCTGCAGCTGAACTGCATTGACAATGGATCTGCTGCTTTCTTAAACTGCTGGTTTTGCATTCTTTTAATTCAGAGACTATGACAAAAGTAAGGGTCATGGGACTGTTGATTAGGTTACCGAGTCAATCACAAAGTCTCTCTGTTGTAATTTGCCACACAAAGCAAATGGGGCTTGGACTTGATTGAATCACTGACTCTGATTCACACACTGGCGTTTGCCACAAAAGGTTAAACAAAGAAATGCATTGCTTATCACGCTGACACAGACATGTGACCAAAGGGCCCATCTTGGAATCAGAATCACGCGAAAGAACCCCTCCAAAGTGGACAGACGGACCTTATCCACATGGGACTTCCCCCTGGGGTTTTTCGCTTACACACACAGAAGAGAATTGTGAGATTAGACAACTGGCCATTGTAGCAGTTGTTTAAACTCATCAAATTCGAAGCACACACGCTCACACGGGACTGGTCGCGAGTTCACCCCCCCCCCCCCCCCCCCCCGTCACCATCGGTCAATGAACTCTGAACACACACACATACATACTGGACTCGATCACAAATTCACCGCGTGACCAACGCTGGTTGAACTTCTGAACACCCATTTACACACACGGAACACTCTGAACACATGGGATCAAAAATCCCCTTTTGTAAATGTATAATGTTTTGTGGTTGTGTTTTCATGATTCCCTGGTGACAAAACTGGTATAACTGTAAGCTTTTATGATATGTGATCAATTTAACATCCGCTTAATCACAGAAAAGTCATGTATCTGCATTTTACTAAGCCCTAGGAATGCCGAACTTGGTATGGTTGTAATCAGAATAATCAAAGAAGATTGAATCATCAACCCAAAATGTAATATGATGCATGCTTTTATTAATACTAGTTTAGAAGTGTATTTCGAACAAGTTTTATCCACTATGCACATGACCTGTACCTCGGGAATCACAAGGTCTGCCGACCCGCCTCCCTGCAAAACGATTGGATCAGACACGTGAGAAAGGCGTGTCCCGCGCCCCTTCAAAATAGACCGTCACCTTCTCCTCTTCGCAGTTTCCTACGCCAGAGAGAGATTCCTAAACTTTCCTGCTAAACTCCAGCCGGAGTTTTCCTTCTTCGTCGTTTTTCTACTTTGTTTTAAATCTAAGTTGCTTTCTTTCGATCTACCTCAGTTGATAGTTCGGTTTCATTCACGAACGAAACAAGTTTAAGATTAATCGCCTCTCGTACGGGCCGCAGCTGAAGCAATCGCAAACATCTGCCTCCTACCGGAAGACGCTCCAGACAACTCCTACCACGCTGCCTTTGTAACACAACTGCACACAAAGAAGCCGTAAAAGTAACGTACAAATCTCAATTAAGTGCTGCTTAAAGTTGTCTAGATTAATGTTGGAATCCTTTGGGTCTCTGTTGAACTGTTTTGAACTGTCCATTCTCTCTCTCTCTCTCTCTCTCTCTCTCTCTCTCTCTCTCTCTCTCTCTCTCTCTCTCTCACACCCACTCTCTCTCTCACACTCTCTCTCTCTCTCTCTCTCTCTCTCTCTCTCTCTCTCTCTCTCTCTCTCTCTCTCTCTCTCTCACTCTCACTCTCACTCTCACTGTCTCTTTTTAAATACGTCATATTGCAATCCTGTATTAATTGTTTGTTTTGATATGCATATTATTTACTCCTGCGTGATTTTTAGTAGTCTATATAACCCTTAGTATTGTGTTATTAAATTCCATAATCCTTTGAATCGAATCTGTCTCATTGTCCCATGATTGAAGTCTCTGTAATATGTCAAAGGTCTGTAAAGTTACCAAAGCTCTACCTCGGTTAACTATTTTAAACATCTGAAAGTGCCGTATACGAGCAGATGCTTCCGTGTGGCCACCGGAAAATATTCACTCGGTATACAGGCAGGTAATTTTGTGATATAAGGAAGTTTTCATCTCCGGTTCGCAGGACGAACCAGGATTCATGACAAACTAATTTGGAATCACATGTAAATTGACCCTGATAATTAATCTGACTTAACTGACCTATATATATCAATAATTACTACGATCAATCGTGTTAATTAGTCCTATATGGTAATGTTTAGTCCATTCCCTATTTGGGATAATTTAATTTATGTATGCGATTACATATTCATTATCTAATGAATAATCTTCCCCATTTGAGTTAAATAATTTCCCCAAACAAAGTCATTGTTGCTACACAGTGATGTATACATACATACATACATACATACACACATACATGCATACATACATACATATGTAAATATACATATATATTTACACTATAAACAGAAATTCAAGGGGGTAACAAAAAAATTCACTGAGTGGGCCTAAATTTCCACTTTAAGTGTGCAAGCAATTTGAAAAAAAATGTAAGATGCATTTTGGACAATTGGGTAACAAGTGGATAACGCTAAAAACAGGTTTTGAGCTTGTCCACTTTCTACCACTTCCAGAGGTAGTCGAAAACACAAATTAGACGGGATCGGGATTGCTTTACTACGAAAGTAATGTAAACTAATAAAGCTGTGTGTGTGTGTGTTTACTTTAATGGAATACTTCCTCATGTTTAGGGACAATTTTATCAAAGGCATTGATTGGTTACCTCCCTTCTGTGTCAGTGTAATCACTGATGCTCTGTGATGTTTTCAGCTCTCCTCACAGGCACATCCGCAGCACCAACGATCCCTGAAGCCAAAAGTATACAAACGAACCCAACTACAAGCAAAACAATCTTTGCATCAATATTGATAGAGGTTAAAGGTAAAATATATAAACCAAAAGCATTACATATATAACAATCAAATATAACCATTAATGCAGGGCTGGTGATATATTTAAATATGTGTTTTTGAATGCAAAAATACTTCCTTATGTTTCAGAGAAAATTATACATTACACATTCATACTGTAGGTTACTTCCCTGTTGAGTCAGTGTAAATACTGATGCTCTGTGATGTTTTCAGCTTTCTTTGCAGGCAACTGCGCATCACCGTCAATCTCTGAAGCCATCAGTTCACAAATAAACATAACTTCAGGCACATCAATATTTGTATCAATATCAAATGTCTTACAGGCTCCAGGTAAATATAAACCAAAAGCATTACATATATAACAATCAAATATAACCACTAATGCAGGGCTGGTGATATCTGTAAATATGTGTTTTTGAATGCAAAAATACTTCCTTATGTTTCAGAGACAATTATACATTACACATTCATACTGTAGGTTACTTCCCTGTTGAGTCAGTGTAAATACTTTTTACCTTTTGTTTGGTATTTTATGATATTCATTTTTTATAATATTAGAATATATTTTAAAATGTAATTTATTTCTTTGATGACAAAGCTTAATTTTAAGCAGCTATTACTCCAGTCTTATATGCTGATTTGATGCTCAAGAAACATTTGTTCCCTTTCGAGGGAACTCGCGATGCGTCATCGACGCTTTGGGAACGCCCCCAGCGTGAATGCGTCTGAGCATCAATGTCAACTAGTCCAGTGGAAAGAATGAGCGTCACGGGCGGGTGACATCATGACCAGGAAGGGATAAAAGCACATCCGGTGCAAACCGGCATTAGCTTCTGTGTCTCAGCAAGCGATCTGTGTTACTCTGTCTCTGTCTATTTATTGTTGTCTGTTGCATATATATTGGAAAGAGTTATGGCGAAACAAATGTACAAACAGTGTGCTTCTCCCTGCCTGCGTTATTTAACGGGTGGGGACACACACAAGCTTTGTGTCGTTTGTTTTGGACTGGAGCATGCGGTCTCAGCCTTCGAGGGGGCTGAGTGCCAGCATTGCGAGATGCTTCCGCTTCGCATGCTCCGCTCTCGCCTGTCACTCTTTGACGAGAGTGGTCAGGTTCGCGATCCTCAGGGTGCAGGACCCGCTGTTGCCGAGGCAGCACGGAGAATGCATTCCTGGGGATCGCAAAAGGATCTTTCGGAGGGGTTGGAGACGGGTCCGAGGGCCTTTTCTTCCTCCTTACCAGGAGGATCCAGTGCTCTCCCCCCGGTTTCGGAAGCCCGCTCTGCGGCTTCTTCTGCCCGGGGAGAGAGTCAAGTCAAGTCAAGTCACCTTTATTTATATAGCGCTTTTTACAATACAGATTGTATCAAAGCGCTTCACAGTGATAACATGAAAACAATATAACAAAAACAATATAACAATATAACAACGTTTGTTTCTCAAAGAAATTGCGTCAACGTCCACCTTAAGTAAGGCAGATCAATAATATTATTGAATATTAAATGTTAAATGTCCCCAACTAAGCAAGCCAAAATCCAAGGCAACAGTGGCAAGGAACCAAAACTCCATCAGGTGACAGAATGGAGAAAAAAACCTTGGGAGAAACCAGACTCAGTCGGGGGGCCAGTTCTCCTCTGGCCAACGGAAGAACAGTGCATGATTCGGGCAGCATTACAAGTCAGATTGGATCGGAACATTTAGAGTATTTTTTTGGAAGTCCAAGTATGCACGCTGGTCTTAAGACGAGTTGTTGAGGATCAGTGCCGTCCACCATAGAGAGTCCATATCGCCCGTGTTGAGTCGTCACTTCATAGGCTTTGTGGTTGGAGCATCTGAAGTCTCCGTGAGAGGCTGGATACAAACTGGAGCTGACGAACGCCATTTTCTCGGGACTCGCGTCCCGAGATAACAGCAGAAAAGCAAAGGGAAAATAATTAGCGTAGCTGCTGTTCATAATGATGATTTCCATAACACAGGTGTAAAAGACAAAACATGAAGACAGTGACTCTTGCGTCCCAAAATCACCCCCCTCCGTCCCCCACTCAACTCAGCCCAGCTTACTGACCTCTACATCCCTCCTGCTGCTGAGACCTAACCACAATCTCACAATCTCTCCGCAACCCAACCATACGCGCCAACCCGTTGACTAAGGCTGTCGAGCCTCACTGGTGCGTGAATAGGCAGTTTCAGTGGACAACGGTTCCGTATGGCATACTACCTACCGCAACACAATATCTGCCCAACCACCCGTCATTCACGCAATATACACAGGAACGTAATAACTGCAAATACTATGCAACCTATACAGATAACCTACAGTCTCTTCAAGTTTTATAGTATTAAATGCATTTGATCTGATTCAGCAGTATAATAAAAGGTAAGCATTATGTAAATGCTTGGCTAAAAAGATGCGTCTTTAATCTAGTTTTAAACTGGGACAGCGAGTCTGAGCCTCGAACAATATCAGGAAGGCTATTCCAGAGTTTAGGAGCTAAGTGTGAGAACGCCCTCCCTCCTTTAGTGGACTTAGATATCCTAGGAATGACTAGAAGCCTCGAATTTAGTGATCTTAAAGAACGCGATGGATTGTAGGGCGATAGAAGGTCCATTAAATACACAGGAGCTAAACCATTTAGGGCTTTATAGGTCAGTAATAGTACTTTGTAATTGATACGGAACTTGATAGGTAACCAGTGCAGAGATGATAGAATCGGTGTTATATGATCATATTTTCTTGACCTAGTAAGAACTCTAGCGGCTGCATTTTGCACTAACTGTAGCTTGTTTATTGAGGATGCAGGACAACCGGCTAATAAAGCATTACAGTAATCTAGTCTCGAGGTCATGAATGCATGAACTAACTTTTCTGCATCGGAAACAGATAGCATGTTACGTAATTTAGCAATGTTTCTAAGATGGAAAAAGGCCGTTCTTGTAACATATGTAATATGATTTTCGAAAGACAAGTTGTGGTCTAGTATAACTCCCAGGTCTTTTACCGTAGAGGATAAAGTAACAGGACATCCTTCTATATTAAAGTTGTATTGTAAGTGGTTTTGTGGATAGTTTTTTGGACCAACAAGTAATACCTCGGTTTTATCTGGATTTAGTAGCAGGAAATTATGCGTCATCCAGCATTTTATATCTTTAAGACACTCTGTCAATTTTGATGAGTTAGTGTTTTCATCTGGCCGTGATGAAATATATAATTGAGTGTCATCAGCATAACAGTGGAAATTAATTCCATGTTTTCTTATAATATTACCAAGTGGCAGCATATATATTGAGAATAGCAGAGGGCCTAACACCGATCCTTGCGGGACTCCATAGTCTACTGAAGTTATCTTCGATTTTTTGAGAGCCCTCCATTACTTCATTGCTCTTCCTCTGAGGAGGTTGATGTGATGAGTATGGAGAGTATAAGCACACACACTGGGGAAAGAGATTTGCCACCTGTTTCCCCAGCATATGAGGAGCTGGTGGATGTGATGTCTAGGGCTGTAGAAAAATTAAATATTGAATGGCCAGCTGAGAAAAGGGGCGCTCGTCCCAAAAGTAAATTAGACGAGCGTTTCCTTTCTTCAGCTACATCATCTCCACCACGGGGCCTTCCCTTTTTTCCCGATCTCCATAACGAGTTATCTCAGTGGTTTTCAAACCCTGGGTCGCGACCCTCGGGTGGGTCGCGAGAATTAAAAAATGGGTCGCCAGTGATTTAAAAATAAAAATAAAAAAAAATCTGTTTTCTAATTAAATTAATATTAATAATAATAGCTTTGAAACAACGAAACAAACTGAATGCTTCTCCTGACATGCGTGTTGCCCTCTCGTCCTGCGAACCGGCTTGGGACCAGATTATGCAGAATAAGCAGGCCCTTCTCATTAATATACACAAAACACGCACTCGTTCGCTCCACCCGCAACACACACACGTTCGCTCCATCGGCAACAACACACTAACACTCGTCGTTCCTTCTAGGGCTGTCAAAATTAGGCTACTCAAAAATTACGTTCTAAAAAATCCCTCTAAAAAAACACATATGCTATGCTATATTCGAACTATTCGAACATCTGGTTGTGCATTTTGTCAATGACGCGCATTACGTCAATAACAGGTCAAATTAATACAAAGAGACATAACTACTTGTTTAGGTAGTTTATTTAAGTTTAAACATATTTGACAACGTATTACCTACACAAAAACAAGTAGCCTAAATCAACTAATGGCCAAGACCGCAGACCTCACTCTCGCTAGGCATTCTTTCTCTCTCTCTCTCCCTCACCTCACGCTCTCTGCGCATAACGGTTTAAATGAACAACAACAACGATAAACAAATGTTGAGTGCTGATCAAGAGTTTTGTGCAAGCAATTTAAGGTCGTGACTCTTGTCCCAAATATAGCAGGCTTCATTCAGTGATTGAAACAAATATTATTAACATTAATTGAAGTTTTAAAGAACCGACATTGAACGCCCCGAGCGAGCTGTGCTGTGGTAAACATGGAACTTTTCCTTGACATGAAACGGTAAATAATCAAACCAGTGAAGCCTGCGATGCATGGAACTGCTGTATCTAACCTACCTTATTCATGCAATAAATAAGAATAAGAAATAAAAAACTTTCAGCTGTGCCAGTGCGACTCTTGTGACCTGTCCCTGATCCCTCAGGCAGCGCGCAAAGCAGACAGCCGCGCCTCTGATACCGCGGGCGTGTTTTTCCACATTCAAATATTAATTTTCACATTCGAAATTCTGTTTTTTTAAAACTATTCGAATATATAGGCCTATTCGAATTTGGAATATTCGTTGACAGCCCTATTCTCATTTAAATTATAAATAAGTTTGCTTTTAAATTGTGTGTGATTTTGGTTGGGTGACAGTTAAGTTTGACAAGAGTTTACAGTTTGACAAAACCACAATGTTGTGTTTTAACAATGTTGTGTCGAGTGTACACAAGTATAAATAAACACTTTGCAGTTTGAATGATGTCCTGTATGAACGACGGAGTATATTTTTTGTTTCCAGTGCCGCGCCTCACACACACACACACACACACACACACACACACACACACACACACACACACACACAAATACACCATTCCAGGCTTGACATCGCAGCCTGTTCATTATAGTCGAAATAAAAATATGACAATAAAATAGTCAACCTAATATAAAAATCACACTGCTCTGTTTAAATAGTCAATTCGTACCATTCAGCGTAAGCACCGCTCAACCGTGATGTTTCCAAGCACATTTTTGCGCATGTGAAAAGGATAATTTTTTTTTCCTGTCGATATTGCAGCGTGAGTGAAGTTGCTACAACGCCTAT